AAGAAAGCTTGGAGGCACGGCATACACCTTGATGTCAAATAAAATAAATAAATGACACAAAGTTTAAATAAAGTAAAAATCAGCAAAACACTGTGGAACCAATTAAATAAGAAACGAATGTTTAAAAAAAACTTCCAAAATCACCTTAGATAAACGGCAAAAGTCAACAGGCTTTTCAAAATCCAAAATATTGCCAAACAGGCACTTTTGCATCTTGTTTCGACACTAAATCATCCGCGATCGTCTTGTCTGTCTCACCTCAACTCACTCTTCTGGTCAGTCAGCTCGACTCAATCTCCTCACTGGAGAAATTAAATCTGATCTGTGATGCGAATGTCGTTCGGCATGCTGCATTGAGCAGCCGCGTTCAGTTTTTAATTGTAGTGTCTGTTCTTTTACTGAACTAAATGATTTTTATTACTATAAAAAAATCAAAATGACGGTTACAGTAGCTTTGTGTGGAACAGACCCAAATGTAAATTTTTTTAACAGAAAAAAAATCCGCATTCACCGCTCATATCTAGCCTGACTCATAGAAAGATTTAAAACAACAGCACGAGTGTTCATGGTGCTTTTTGGAGCTCTCATTTCTTCATAAACGGTGATCAAAACATCTAGTGTTCCAGTGTCTTTTTGCTTAAGTTTTCCAACGTTTGTAAGAATATTCGTTCTTTGCTTATGCTAAAAAGCAGGCACCTGTCCACAGTGTTGGTGAAAGTTGCTTTTAAAAGTAATGCATTTTTCTCATCTAGGCTGGGCTCGCTTGTTTGTTTTTATATTAAAAAGTTTTGTTTTTGGCAAATATAAAAGCCCTTTCACACTAAGAGTAAAATGAATAAGCCTCAGACTGAAGGAAATGTAACGAAACAAACCTTTCATCTGTGCTGCCATTCTGGATTGCATGAAGAATAGGATGCAGGAGAAGAAAGTTCAACACTTTAAATCTTTAAATTTAAAAAAGAAAGAAAATAAATATTGTGCTTATCTGAAGTCATTTTTGCTTATTAGTATGGCTGAATTGGATCAGCAGCAAAGACATTGATTAATAACGTGTAATTAAATTAGGGCTGTCAAAATTAACGCGTTAATAACGCATTAATGCAAATTAATTTTAACGGCACAAATTTTATTAACGCACGACTGATGCAGCGCGCATGTTCTGTTTCAGGGTTTCTGCAGGTCCTTAAAAAGTCTTAAAAATAAAAAGTCTTAAATGGTACAAGAAAGCCTTAATTCTGATTTCTTAAATTTGGGGAGGGAAAGACAAGAATTGCGATATGGCTTAATGCGACGATTAAACTTCAAAAGGCGATGATTTCATTGAATAAATATGAGCGCTGCACGTTTCAAAGTCTGGTGCTGCACTGTTTTGTTTACAGTCGGAGAGACTGCTATATTTCTGCTGTTCAGACAGCGCCATCTGCTGGCATTTTCAATAAGCCCGTCTGCTGTTTCTGTTAACGGCACAAATTTTATTAACGCACGACTGATGCAGCGCGCATGTTCTGTTTCAGGGTTTCTGCAGGTCCTTAAAAAGTCTTAAAAATAAAAAGTCTTAAATGGTACAAGAAAGCCTTAATTCTGATTTCTTAAATTTGGGGAGGGAAAGACAAGAATTGCGATATGGCTTAATGCGACGATTAAACTTCAAAAGGCGATGATTTCATTGAATAAATATGAGCGCTGCACGTTTCAAAGTCTGGTGCTGCACTGTTTTGTTTACAGTCGGAGAGACTGCTATATTTCTGCTGTTCAGACAGCGCCATCTGCTGGCATTTTCAATAAGCCCGTCTGCTGTT